CCCATAAACAATGAAACCCCTGGCAAATCTGATAACAGAGAAGTTAAAATTAAACTTCCATTGCTGTCACTGAATTATAATGTGAATTCCTTAAGAAGAAGGAAAAGCTATTTTGTTATCAATATTGTATGTGATTAGATAGGGGCACCGTATGCACAGTGAGGTTTCATGTTTTATATAACCATTCCCTCCAGCTAAATCCCACAGAAGTACATGTATTTTTGGAAGGCCACTTTAAAAAAAAAAAGAAAAGAAAATAGTTTAACAGCTATTCACTTGTCCTAAATTGGCTAGGGGTATTGAGGCTAGAGCTCAGCTAACCGGTACTTGACTAAGAATAAAAAGCAAGGTCAAATGTATTTACTTAGGGCCTTGTCCTCCTACTATTAAATTCTATTGCAAACTTCTCCTTACACTAAAAGCAAGATGAGATCCTCATTGGTAGGAGAAAAAAGTCTGACTCCCAATCTTTAGCCCCAGTATTACATTTTTTGATTGTCAGGAAAAAAGCTCAGTGCTGGAAAAAAGTGTTTTGTTTTTAAGAAAGGCATCAAATTTGTCAACTGAATAGACAGCAGGCCTAATATTATTTGAAGATATAATTAGGACTAATTTTTGCCCCTTAATCATAGTATATTTTACCCCAAACAAGGTAAGAGGCATCAGATTAAACATACTTTTTTTAACAAGGGTGGAAAATCTATTTTTGAATCTCTGGGTCCTTCCAGTTTGGCTTCATTTTGAACTAATCCTCACACTGGTTTTCCATTTTACACCTGCAAATTTATGGGTGCATGATGACATCACTTAGAAGTCCTGCTACCTGATTTGCTGACACAATCAAATAGTTGAATGTCTAAATGGCAACTGATGCACCTGCAAATATACAGGCAATAAAACAGACTAGCCAAAAAAACAGCCCCTCCCCCCAAGCCCATGGCATTGGCCACATCTGTCCTACAAGAATATGCAGCAGCTAATTGCTGAGATTCACATATGGCTCTGCATCAGCTGTCACTAGATACTCCATTGATAGGCAATTCAGAAAAAAAACATATAGATTAGACAGCAGCAATCCAATGAATAGAAACTCAGGCTATGCCTACACTGGCAAGGTTTGGTGACAAAAGTGCTGACAACATGCAAAAGTTGCCAGAAGTGAAAACTGGTGTCACTGTTTTTTCTGCCTTCCACTGTTGACATTTCACAGCACTGTGGTGTCAGTTAGAGCAAAGAATGTGTGTAAGCATCCCACAGTGCACTGTTGTAGGAAGGCAGAGCTTATTCCAGCCCTTCTTGGGATTCCCTCGTAGCTCTGTGAGCTCTCGGTGCTGAGGAATGTCAAAGCAGCACAGCAGTCTCTCCAGACCTCTCCCTGCATCAGCAGGCTGCCTGCAACTGTGTTCCCAGTGCAGAGCAGAAAAGCAGCATTCCAAAGACTTGCTCTTTGTTCCCCAAGCAAAGCACCTCACTCAGCTGGCGTACTTCCTAGAGCTTTAAAAGGAGAGGGTTGCCTATCTGCAGGGCAGCAGAGATCACAAAACACTGAGCAGAGCCATCAAGGCAGGCATTGTGGGATACTGGAAGAAACTAGTTCTCTTGACAAAACAAACAGCAGAATCCACACTGGCTTTGTCGACAATAAAAGGAAGGGAAAAGACAAAAGTCTCTCGCAGGGCTGGAAGTTTTTGTTGCCAAAAACTGGGTGTTGTTCCTGACAAAAATAGCACCGAAGTGTAAACACTCTCCCTGTTTTGTCGCCAAAAGGCAGTTTTTGGTGACAAAAGGTGCCTGTGTAGACAAGCCCTCAGAGTTCTGCTGACAAAAGAGCTACTGCACAAATAAGCAAATAAGGTTTTAAAAAGCAATGTTTTCAGCTCTTTGGAAAGGGGGCCAGATTCACAGATGATTTATATGAGTATTGCTATAGTGCAGTCAGTACAGTAGGCCAGTTTACACCAAAATCTGGACTATGAGAGTCTAAAACAAGACATCAGACAAATAATAACAGACACCAACATCAAGAAGAAAATCAAATAGTTTCAAGGGGACAAAAGCAAAGTATAATGTAAAACAATTTAGAATTTGCTGCACAACATCAGAAGCACAATACTTGGTTGAATTAACCGCCCACCCTCACCCATGCACTGCTTCTGGTAAGGCTTTTTTGGTTTTACCTCACACTTCTCCACTGCTGGCTGCTGCCCGCACTCTGAGCTGTTCCCTGCCACGATGCCAGCCCGCAGGCTCTCACTGTCTCCAGTTCCCTCCTCCATGGAGTAGGTTTTGGAGTGATTGCCACGGCGGTGCGTTGGGCTCCGGCTCTGTGCCAAGCTGAGTTGTTTGCGGAGCACACGGTTCTCCTCCTCCACCTCCCGCATGCGTATCTCCAAGCTCTCCCGCTCCCGCTGGTTTGAGGCTGTGTAATGAGAGCTATGGGCCTGAGATTCGATTGGTGACAACGACACTGCCTTCCCATCTAAGGGATGGAAAACAATATCTGGATGAGAGCAGGATTAACATTTTGTATGTGCTTTATATATAAAAAAAATCCCAGACATTTATTTTAAATCAATCTACATCTTATATAGACTAAAATCCCAATTTCAAGACAGCACTTAAGCATGTGATTAACTTTGGGCAAGTGATTCAGCCCTACGGATTTCAAGTCTCATTAACTTCAAGGGAACTTAAGTACATGCGTAAAGATGAGCATATTTGTCTGGGACAGGGACCTTTGCCAGAATCAGGCCCTGAACTGGAAGACAATGAGGAACACAAGGATTTAATATAATGACAATCGATGTGTTGTTAGAGGAAATGACAACTGACATGCAGTGGGGGAAGAATTTTTTTTTAAATGCATGAGACAGATTTTTTTTCCCATTTCTCCCTCTCTCACCCCAAATTGCAACATTTCCAGCGTCAAATCATGCCAAAAATTGACCCTGAATGATTTCATGTGTGACAGAGTGATTTACATCACTCAGGAGAGACCTAAGACACATGAACAGGAAAGTATAATTACATATAATATACCCAAGAGAGGATCATTCCGCCATCTGTTCCAGGTGTGTTATTGTTGCTACAAGGGTTTAGAGAAAGAAAATGGAGAGAGGCAGCCCGTCTGCTAGTGAAAGCAACGTTTTTCTAAATAACTTTTGACAGAGCACTATATTCAAGGCAAATGTCTGAGAGGTGACTGAAGAAAAACAAACAGTGTTAAATAATTTTCAGTTAAAATTAAATGGAGACCAATAAAATGAATGGCTACAGTTGTCCACAGAGAAGTGAGACAGTCTGCAGTTAAAAAGGCCTAAGCTTACAACACGTCACTGCAATGAGGATGATGGGCAAATGCCATGTACCGAGTACTTCTCAAAAATAAACTTTCCACCCACATGCATTTAAAAAGGTTGCACTGTTTAACAAGCCCCCTCACTGTGCCCAATCATACTGGCTTTATCAGACCAATTCGTGAGTGGCTTAGAAAAAGAAAATCATACAGTTTCCGCTGCAAAAAGTTGTTCTTTTCCTGCTTCAGCCTTCTGTTTCTTTCTTACTTGATCAATGCTAAACTCCTCAAACTGAGGTTATGAAAAACTACTGTAGAAACGAGAACCACTTTTCGAGCCTCCACTGTTGCACAGATATACACCACACACACACACATAGGCATGCACTTCTATAAAAAGTTACCATCCTACAAAAAACCCTGTTTGATTTTTTAAAATATAAATAAGAGTGATAGGCACGATTAAGGGTACGTCTAGACTACATGCCTCTGTCGCCAGAGGCATGTAGATTAGGCTACCAGACATAGGAAAATGAAGCGGCGATTTAAATAATCGCCGCTTGATTTAAATTTACATGGCTGCCACGCTGAGCCGACAAACAGCTAATCAGCTGTTTGTCGGCTCAGCGCGATAGTCTGGACGCGCGGGTGTCGACATCAAAGGTATTTGTAGACCACCCAGGTATGCCTCCAGGTAAGCCTCTGGCGACAGAGGCATGTAGTCTAGATGTACCCTTAGTTTGTAAAAATGTGTAGACACAGAAATTTGATGTCTGTTTGTTGATATTTGTAACTTACTGAAACATCACAAATAGTTATTTTTAACAAACAAAACAAAAAGTTTTCTTAAGGTAGCAAAACCAACTAGACAACAGGAAATGCCCGAGAAGCTTTAACCTGTCCCCTTGTGAATATGCATTATGACAGTGGTCTCCAACCTTTTGGGGCTGCCGGGCGCGGGGCTGCGCATGCACCGCACGCCCAAAAGCAGGATCGCGCATGCGCCAGGCGCCCGGGGTGCAAGAATGGCTTGGGCCGGCCCTGGTAACTAGGCGAGTGCACATGAATGTCCCAGCGGGCGCCATGGCACCCACGGGCACCGCGTTGTGGACCACTGCATTATGACAACTTTTACAGATCACATCCTTTTCTTTTCACTGGACCCTCACGTCCTTCATGAATAACCAATACAAAAATACAATATCAGCAAAACTACCTATTGTTTAGAACTATCCAAAATGTGAAAAAAAAAACAGCAAAAATATTTTTCTCATCATTTGAAAATTTTTGCTGTTTTTTTGCTTCAGGGCTGGTGACACCCAATCCCTATGGGGCAATGGAAGGAGGCTGCACTTTTGCTGACTGCTACCAATCAATCTTTTCACTGATTTCAGTGTCTGCTGAAATAGATGTTTACTGAAATCTACTGATTTAAATCAAATCCTGCCAAGTCTAGCTATTTCATATGAAATTCTACACAGAAAGTGTTAAATACAGAGAAGCTTTTCTCCAAAAATCTCACCAGGGCTACTGCATCGATTCCCTCTGTACAGTATTGTTTCCACCTTGTGGTTCTCTCACAAGTCTTGCAAGAGATGGTGTTTTTCTTAAAACCCCAATACTTGGAGGCAAGTGACTCTGAAAATCTTATCATTCATTTAAAAGAAACTGAGCTTCTAGCACTCATGGGTACAATGAAAAGCCTGAAAATATGAAACAATTTGACCTAAAGGCTCAGACCAGAAAGCAAATTAAAAAAAAAACAGGATTTGTAAGCCAAATTCATGATTTTTGAATGCTTAAGGTTGGCAGGATAAGTATTCTTGTCTGGATGAATACTTGCAGTGACACTGGCTTCAGCCCACCTATAATTAGACATGAAACCGAGAAGTTTTCTAATGTTGCAGAGTAATTTCATATATGGGCTTAACCTCCATATCCATTTGACGGGCCCATTAGAAATGTCAACAACAATGTTCTAAAAACGGCCATACTGGGTTATACCAAAGGTGTGTCTAGCCCAGATCCTGTCTTCTGATAGTGGCCAATGCCAGGTGCCCCAGAGGAAATGAACAAAACAGGTAATCATCAAGTGACCCATTCCTTGTCATCCATTCCCAGCCCGGACAGAGGCTAGGTAGACCATCCTTGCTCATCTTAGCTAATAGCCATTGACAAACCTATCTTCCATACATTTATCTCATCCTTTTTAAATCCCCTTTGAAGTCCTGGACTTCACAACATCCTCTGGCAGGTGGTTCCACAGGTTGACTGTGTGCTGTGTGAAGAAATGCTTCACTTTATTTGTTTTAAACCTGTTGCCTATTTATTTAATTTGGTTACCCTTAATTCTTGTGGAAAGGAGTAATTAACTATTTCTTATTTATTTTCTTCATACCAGTCATGATTTTATAGTCATGTATTATATCCCCCTTTTGATGCTTTCAGAGAACTATTCACAATGACTCCAAGATATCTCTCTTGAATAACACCTAATTTAGACCCCATCATTTTATATGTATAGTTGGGATTACATTTTCCAGTATGGTTACTTTCCACTTATCAACATTGAACTTCATCTGCTATTTAGTTGCCCACTCCCCAATTTTGAGAGATTATTTTGAAGCTCTTCTCAGTCTGCTGTGGACTGAACTAATGTTTCAAACAAAAATGCATAATGTTACTAAATGTTCTGTATACTTATTTCACCTGGCCTTTAAAGAAAGATGGACTTAGGTACAGGCTGATAAGGAAGCACTAGTATTTTATCAAGTATGCTGCTTGGTAGAAGGGTTGAATTGGTTGTACAGCACTTTAGTTTTACAGTTAAATAAGCTGCCAGGATGCTCCTAGCTGATATATGGCTTTTTTATTTAATCTAAATCGAAGTAAAATCAAATCATACATAATAAGGACTGTCTGAGTTTAGTCCAGGTAAGAATACAAGGAACCAGACACCATTCTGTGAATTAACTAAAAAGCCTTTGAATGCTGTAATAGATATTAATAAATATTAATAAAGCTATGTATTTTGGGGACTGCTGCTCCATGTTTGGTCCTTGGCAGGCTTAGTCCTTTTTTTATACTGGTGTCAAGTCCTTTATCCCAATTATTCCGAGATATTAAAGCTGTACCAAGAATATAAAAAATGACTTGATAAATTTCACTACATATAGATCACAAATTACATACTGAAATTGGAGAAATAATGGCATGGTAGCCAGAAGGCAGAGGCTTATCACAGTAGGAACAGTAGATCACAAACTGTTTCCCATTACTTAACCCCTAATGAATCCTTAAAAATATATTAAGAGTAAAAAATTATATAGGATTATCCTCATTTTACAGATGGGGAAACTGAAGATCAAAGATGTTAAGAATTTAACAACATAATGACCATACTGGTATCAATAGAACAAGGCAATTATAAAGTGATCCATTCCCTGTTGTCCATTCCCAGTATTTGACAGTCAAAGGCTATGGGACATCAGACCATGGAGTTCCATCCCTGACCATCTGGGCTAATAAGATCTATCCCAGAGGTGGACAAACTCTGGTCCAAAGGCTGCTTGTGTGTGTGGCCCACAAGACCATCCAGGATATTAGTTGCTGGTCCTTAATGGGATTGTAGGCATATGAGTGTACTTGGCAAAGTTCAGGAATTCCCCTAACATCTGTCCCTTTTGCAGCAATTGGGCAACCAAGACCCACATCTACATAGAGTCTTCTGACTCCTCCAGAACCTCTTACTGTGGTTCTGGTTGCAGTTTTTCCTGCACCTCCTGATCACTGTGACCCCACAAACACTCAGAATCACCTCATCAACCTCCTCCTGGCACTAGCCAAAACAGCCATTCATCATACCAAGAGGAGGATGTTGAATGGAGGAAGGAGGTGTGCTCTGCAACTGTAGGGTATATTTCCAATTGTCTGTCCACACCAGTCTCTGGACAGTTTACCCGGGTGGCGTCCACTGGATTCTTGGACACCTTTTAGGAAGAAAGGCCACCTTTTAGGAAGAAGGGCTCTCTGCTTGTTGTCCACCTCTGAATCTTTGATTCTTTACCTCTGATCTCACTCCTCCTGTTTTGTTTTTTCATTTATTGTGCCCAGAAATTAACTGTAACCTGGACTTAGTGGCTCCTCCCCCTTACTTGAAGGGTAAGGCCTCCACCCACATTTCC